GCCTGCCCCGCTGCCCTGGGTCAGGTCGCACACGGGACGCCTGGGTGGGCTGGCCGATCGCTGCTGCCCTGCCCGGCTGCCCCGGGTCGGGTCACACATGGGACGCCCGCCGCCCCAGGTCGCAGATAGCAGGCCCAGATGGCAGCAGGGCAGGCAGAATGGCGCTGTTCCGCCCCACCGCCCCGGGTCGCAAATAGCAGGCCTAGATGCAGGCGGTATGGCACTGTCCTGTCCTGCCTGCAGTATGCAAATTAGCCACCATTTTCGACAGGTAGTTTGCATATCGTGCTGATTAGCCAATGGGAGGCGTAGCGAAGGTATGGTCAATTACCATGTTTGTCTATTATTAGATAGGATAAGGTTTATCTAACTGATTTTTATTTTATTTTTAATCCTCTCCTGAGGATTTTTTTTTTTATTGCTTTTCAGAGAGAGTAGAAGGGAGAGAGGGAGGGGGCAGAGAGAGAGAAACATGATAAACATGTGAGAGAGATACATGGACTGGTTGCTCCTGTATGCACCCTGAAGGAGGGGAAGAGAGGGGAGGGCATTGAACCTGTGACCCTTCTGTGCCTAGGCTGACATTCTAGCAACACCGGCTAGGGCAATGCAGCTGATTTTTAAAATATTATATGGCCCCCAATATCAATTGTCAGGGTTTGTGTAATTGTTGCTGGCTAAAATGTAAGTGAATGAATATAATTGCAGAGATATCACTGAATTATTTTATGTTGGGATAAGTTAGTGTTCTTCGAGTATCAGAAAACAGAGTGGGGCATATTTAAGGAGTGCTGGGTCTTGATGATAGCAGGCAGTACATTTCCCTGTCATTGACAACCCTGGCAGAGATGTCAAATTGGGACATGTTACCCATGCAAGTTATAAAGAAGATGTCAAGAGTTTATCTCATAGCCAGAGTTCTAGAGGTTCCTCTGTCATTGGCAGAAAGACTGTTCAGGTTCATGATAGCAGGATGACATTGAAGGAGACAGCTGGCCTTTTAATACCTGCATCCAGGTCTTAGGACACTTAAAAGCGATGTGACTTTGGCAGATTATTTAACCTGGGTACGTTTCTTAAACTATAAAACCACACTTAATGGTTGTGCTATGAGGGTTAGATAATTTATCATCAGTTACCTATTACTGCTTAACAGCATCCCAAAACTTAGTGGCTTTAAAAAAACAACAACAGCTTATCATTTCCCACAGTCTCATTGCTTGGTTTAGTGGTTCTTTTGCAAATCTCATTTGGGCTCTCTGTATTCAGCCAGCAGATTGGCTGTGGGCTGGGTGGGACAGCTGGGCTTCTCCCTATGGTTTTTTATCTTGGGCTTATGGCATGGTGGTCTCAGAGTACCAAGAAGGCAAAGGTAGAAGCCTGGGCTCAAGAACTGACAGAACATTGCTTTCACCATATTACTTGGTCAGAGCAAAACACAAGGCTGGCCCAGATTTGAAGCATGAGGAAATAGGCTCCTAATCTTGATGGGAAGAGCTGTAAAATATGGCCCCATTTTAAGTCTGCCATAATGTATTCAGAACATTCATACTACAAGCATTAGTTAACAAGCACCTTTTAAGTTGCCCATCATTTGTTTTTATAATCCTGTACTCTAAATTCATTTGGGAATTTAGTGAAAGCTTAAAAACCTTCATTTGTTCAGAGGCATTTACACAAACTCTGATCTTTGAGGGTAGATTGTGTCAATGATAGTCTCCCCATAGATGAAGCAGAGATTGTCTTGTTTGCAAAATTAGATAGTTAGAATGTGGTAGGTGTAGTGACTTATTTATCCCACAAATAGTAGTTGAATGCTTACTGTGTGCCAGGCTTTTCGGTTAAGTGCTAGCAATAACATGCATTTTATTACAGAGCTTATAGCCTGGTGTTGACCCACAGGAGTACAGTTGTTTATAAGTGCACACACACATCTATACTAATAAAAGGGTAGTATGCTAATTAGACCAGATAGACTGGACGTCTTCCAGATGTCCTTCCAGACAAAGCCACGGTGGCAGGGGCCGAGGTAGAGGCAGTTAGGGGCCATCAGGCCGGCAGGGAAGAGAGCGATTAGGGGCAATCAGGCAGGCAGGGAGAGAGCGATTAGGGGCGGTCAGGCAGAAGCTGTTAGGGTGATCTGGCAGGCTGGCAGAGGCGGTTAGGGGCGATCAGACAGGCAGGCAGGCAGAGTGGTTAGGGGCAATCAGGCAGGCAGGCAGGTGAGCAGTTAGGAACCAGTGGTCCCAGATTGCAAGAGGGATGTCCCAGATTGGAGAGGGTGCAGGCCGGGCTGAGGGACCCCCTCCCCACCCAACCCCCATGCATGAATTTTGTGCACCAGGCCTCTAGTACTTTGTAACGTTGAATCCAATTATTGAACTTAAAGGAAAAGAAAACAGCATATCAGTATTCATAAAAACCTTGTGCAGTTTTTTTTTAATTCTGTTATCTAAACAGTTTGCAAAATATACTAGGAAATAATATACAAGATTTAGCATGCCTAATTGGAAGAATTTTTGCTTTTGACATAACCACTTTCATTTTTGGGAAAAGAAAGCTACACAGTTGAAGCCTAACATAGAATTTGTTACTTGTAAAATAAGTGAGAACAAATGCATTATTAATTTTATGTAATTTTTATTTAATTCTTAACAATTATCCTGTAAGGTGAATAGTAGTGGATTGAGTTGAAAGAGACCCCTCTTGAGACAGTTCTCAGTTCCTCTACAGTAACATTTGGATCTGGTTTTTGTTTCAGACTACGGACAGACACTTTTTTTTTCTTTTGGGACAGACACTTTTTAAGTGCTACTTAAAGTGAGAAATCCATAAAACAGGAAAATTGTACTTGCAGTGTTTATTAATAGTTATACTTGAGAACTTACAGAGCACTTTGAATATATATTCAAGTTCTCAGAGAAACTCGGACAAGTATTGTCCCCATTTTCCAGTTGAGAAATCAAGCTTACAGAGGTTTTCCCCAAATTA